ATCTCAGCTACATGGAGGGAGGGCAACAGGAGTGTTTGCTATCCTCTTCAGGAGGCCCGAGGAGGGGAGCTAGTCATATCCATCCCTCTGAAGGATAATGGGGTCCATAAGGGAAACAGTGACTGCCTCACTCCCCTCACCTCAGACACTTGAGGAGGGGAGTACTGGAGTTCTCTCTGCTGATGAAAATCAAAGGAAGTCTTTCCTCATCTCATTTTGAGATCTGGGATATCTTCATTCGTTAGCGCCTGGTAGGAAGTCTGCAGTTGCCACTGAGACAAGGAGATCTTCTCTCTCCTTCCTGCTGACTTCCATGAAGATGAACATGGGCGTTACCTTGAGAGGTATGGGGAGGAAGGATCTCCAGAGCCTAGCAGCAGCAGAATTTTTAGTCTTCTTTCCTAACCTGTGGAATTCTTTACGCCCCTTTCCCCTGAGACTTGGGGGAGGTTCTATTCCCCACACCCACTGTCTGGTGGGGAGGAGAGGAGAGTGCATGAGCTGAAACACTACGTTCTGCTTTGGCCCAACACAGGCAGAACTAAGAGTGTATGACCAGCATGCCCCAAGCTCTGCTATCTATCTTAGGGTTTTATACTGTTGTCATCACCTTAGTATCTGAGTCCTTCCATGTAAAATCAACAGCAATAGCAAAGTCCCTAGTGGACTTCATGGAGTCTCTGGCACCTGTTCTTTTTTGGGTCAAAGCTTTACATAGGATATGGTTTGGGTGTTTTTGTGGAGGGGAGTAGAGTTGTGGAATTGGTAGGGGCTTTGGAATAGTAGGGGGTTTTCATATTGTTAGTGTCCCTTATATTGGAAACTCTTCCTCAGAGGAATGCTTTGCAGTATTTCCTAAAGATGGTCAGGCTGTGGATTCACCTTATCGCCTCTGAAAGATTGTTCCATAGCTGGATCCTTGGGATAGGGAATGCTTTGTGTCCCCTCTCATGCGCTTCCCTCCAGGACTTTGTGATCTGCATTGTGCCAAATGTCATAGGGGTTCATAGATTGAAAATCAGTCTTTCATGTAGCTGTGTCCTGGTCTGAACCCTGATTGTGAGTCCTCCAGGGTGTTGGCTGATATCACATGTTGATGAAGTTTGATGGTTAGTACTTGCTCAATTATTTTTCCCAGGAATTGGAAGCTTGGCCTTAAAGTGGACAAATCAGAGTTAGAGGAATGCTAATCATGCACTCCTGCCTCAGATGGCCAAACAGATAGTGATTGAATAGCATTAATAGCCACACAGTGCTTCAAATTTTCTACTCCACTTACCCAGCCCTACTGTTAGACTACTCTGATTTGACCATATGTCTCCACACATCTGTTACATGACTGCAAGAATTTGGTATACTATTATTTTAACTTCTGTTCTGCCCCATAATGTTAATCTGGAGGGTATTTTGCTTCATACACAGTTATATGATAACACCTGTGGTTAACTGTGTGTGGTGACTACATGACTATGCATATTCACCATTTAAAGGTATCTTGATCCTAATAAATGCTAACAAGAAAGAAGGCCAAAACTGGAAGTGCTCCCAAAAGATAACATTACATCTGGCTTACATCATGGTGTGCACATCACCACAGAATGCGTACCTGATGGTTACATAGGATATTCCTCACACCTAACTTTATACAGTTTTGTATTCTGGTTTATTGATGTGTATTTCTTGTTTATCATTCACACTTCAATTTTGCTAAAGACTCAGCTAACTAACAAGTATCCTTTTACAGATTTTTAAGGCCAGAGAGTACCATTATGATCATCTAGTCTGACCTCCTGCATATTACTACCATACTGACCTTCAAGAATTTCCCTAGATTTCATAGGTTCCTATTTTTGAAAATGGTGGTCTTAACAAATAGACACCTAAAATTGTGCCCCAAAATCCTTACAAGGGCACCTAAATAAGTGCTCTGATTTTCAAAAATGCTGAGCTCACAGTAGCAACCATTCAATGGGGTCTGCAAGTACTCCACACCTCAAAAATCAGACCATTACTAACTAATCCTCATAACACTCCCAGGAGTTAAAAATGAAGGAATAGAAGCATTTGGTAAGGCCCACAGATAGAGTAAGAATTCAGGAGTACAGGACTCCCATTGCTGTTCTCAGAACCCTAGCTTCATGCGTTGAGTATAACACAAACCAGGATGTACGCAACTCAGTTTCAGTTTGCAGTTCAAGGAAAGCTTCTTGTTTTTACTATAAAATACTCAGACTCCACCAGTAAGGCTGCAGATTGTCATCATTCACATATTCAAATGCTTGTAGATAATGATAAAGAAACACAGTGTTTGCATCTCTAAAATAGGAGGAGGTGAGGCTGTTTTGAGAAAGCAGACAGAGTGTGAACGCTAAGCATTAAAAAGTGTCAAGAAAATACTTCACAGATGGAAAACAGAGACTTTGGTTAGACTGCAAATCGCATTCAAAGTCACTGGAGGGCTTAGCTTGAGTAAGGGATCCAGAATAAATTATAATAAATTCTTGCAGTCCAAATTAGAGCAGAAGCTGAATGCGTATTTCCAAAGGGGATGATGATTCCCAAAGAGGTCAACTTGATGAAATCAGGTTTTTTCAGGTTTCTTTTTCTGTGTCTCTTTAAAGAATGACAAGAAGTTCAAAGAACACTGTGCAGAAAATGGCTGCTAAGCAAAGCTATCTATAATTGAACAATGACTGTTGTGTAGAGATTATCAGAAAAATACAGGGAGGTTCCACTGAAAATTTAAACTTTCCATCAAAAACAACAAAACATGCTTTCTCCTCAAAAGGGAGAGTTTTCATGAAAACTTTTCTTCTAATCCTAAGATTGCATGTATATGGGAGATAGCATGCTGATTTCTCTCCCAAGCAAATGTGTACCAGGAAGCCCTCCATGTTAGTCAGTATGTGCATAGTCTTTGTCAGAAGACCAAACAGATTTTGCAATATCAGTAGTATGACAAGGTCTACATATAAAAAAAGACATTGGGAAATTTTAGGCTGGGTTCTCAGATGGTGTAAATCCACCATTGACTTCAGTGGAGATATATTGATTTATAATACCTGAGAATTTGGCCCTCCATCTTTTTGCTGACTTTGCAAATAGGTAAAGAAGAATTATGTTGTGCTTGATGACAAATGTAGTGTGTGTAACAGCGTGGTCAGGGGGTTGAAGTGAAAAGAATAAATTCTACTTGCTGTGATTTCCGTAGGCTGAATTTTACCCTCCTGATCAGCAATTGTCTGATTCACTAGGAGCATTTGGATGAAAGATCTGATTGGTACTGTTTCTTGAGAAAAGACTTTGCTCAGAGCAGAGGCTAACATTTTCAAACCAGGGTGCCTAAAGTCAGATTCCTAAGTCCATGTTTAGGCACCTAAATAAAAGTGGTCTGATTTTCAAAAATGCTGAAAATCCACAGTTCCTTTTGTCTTCTGCAGATCAAATCATTTATATTTGGATGCCTGAATATGGATCCAGGAATCTAACTTTAGGCACCGAGAGTTAGATTAGCTTGCAACATCCAAGCTCTTTTTGTGCGCATGCTCCTTAGCCTGTACTAGGGTGACCAGACAGCAAATGTGAAAAATTGGGATAAGAAAAAGACCCCAAAATCGGGACTGTCCCTATAAAATCAGGACATCTGGTCACCCTAGCCAGTACAAATGTTTTAAAATGTGCTTTTGAGCATTATCACCTGCTATAGCAAATGATAGAACAGGGGCAGGAAATTTTTTGGCCTGGGGGCCACATTGGGTTTCCAAAATTGTATGGAGGGCCAGTTAGGGGAGGCTGTATCTCCCGAAACAGCAAGGTGTGGCCTGGCCCCAGCCTCCTATCCGACCCTCCACCCCTCTCCCACTTCTTGCCCCCGACAGCTCCCCCAGGACTCCTGCCCCATCCAACCCCCTCTGTCCCCTGACAGCCCCCCTGGGACTCCTACCCCATCCACCACCCCCTGCTCCCTGTCCCCTGACCACCCCCGGAACCCCTGCCCTGACTGCCTCCCACCACCCCATCCAACCCCCCCCCCCCACCTGACTGCTGCCCCCCCGGGACCCCTGCCCCATCCAACCCCCCTGTTCCCTGCCCTCTGACTGCCCCAACCCCATCCACACCCCTGCCCCCTGACCACCACCCCCTACTCCCCTGCCCTCTATCCAACCCCCCCCACTCACTGCCCCCTTACTGCACTGCCAGGAGCATCGGTGGCTGAGCACTGGGTCAGGCCGCGGCTCTGCAACTACGTCCAGAGCATTGCGCCGGCGGCGCTGTGCGCTGAGGCTGCGGGGGAGGGGGAAAGCGGTGGAGAGGCCGGGGGCTAGCCTCCTGGGCCAGGAGCTGAGGGGCCAGACAGGAGGGTCCTGCGGGCCGGATGTGGCCCGCGGGCAGTAGTTTGCCCACCTCTGTGATAGAATCTGTTGCCTGAATGTGTAGGGATCTGCAGCCGCATTTGGAGAAATTCTGTCATTTGCAAGTGATAAAGTCACTATTGAAGCAAAAAGAATTCCTGTATAATGTAGAAATCATACAAGAATGCAAATATTTCTTAGGAAACTGTCATCTGCATACTTGAAATTTTAAAAAGGCATTGAAGGATTTGCGGGCCAAATCCTGAAGTATTGACTCAATCCTTGTTCATACAAACTCCCATTGGACCAAGTTGCCTTCAGTGGAGTTACACCTCTAACTAAGGGCTTGATCAAAAAGCCCATTGAAGTCAAGGGGAGACTTCTGCGGACTTTGGATCAAGAACTAAGAGCAGAAATTGGCCCATAGACTTTAGTGGGAGTTTGCCCTAATAAGGAGTTCCGTATTTTGCCCTGTGTGTTAAAAGCAGACAGATCTTGCAGCTGTCATAGAGGGTGGTCTGTATCATTTTGCCATGCAAGCTGCTTTTTAAAGCCTGGAGCTGGACGAAGCAATTTGAGGATCTGAATTAATGTTATGCTCATTACAAAACGGTTGTTTTAAAGAGCTTTTCCCGCTCTCCCCCTTAGGCAGAAGAAGAGAGAGATGATATGGAGAGAGTGAAGCTGGATAATAAAAGAATTCTCTTCAATCTCTTGCCGGCACATGTTGCACAGCATTTTCTTATGTCTAACCCTCGGAACATGGTAAGGCCAGGGGTGGGGGGTCGGTGGGGGGGAATAAGCACGTGATGATATGCATGATTTGTATGTGGCCGCCAGGTCAGGGAAATTATATATTTTCTTCAAAGCTTGACACATTTACATTTCATACGCATTAAAGTGAATTAAAGTGAATAGTTCTGGTAAAAGCCATTGTCAGATGTCAGGTCCGGGTTATTTTCCCTTTCTCGGTAGCATTCACCTTTTCTGAAGGACTTCAGTACAATACCATTCAGGTGAATGAGGTGTCATTCAGCATCAATGGCGTTGAGTGCCGACATGCAAATAACCAATTTCTTTTTCAATTAAGTCAAAAGATCAGAGTTTATTACAATCTTCCACAGAGATCAGTTTGGTTCTGAATAGAATATAGTGTGAAATATCAGATGCTTCCAGTTGATCCACTCAGGTTCTTGAAATGTGCCTCATTTACAAAAACATAAATTTAAAAGTCAAAATAAGGAATTCTTCACACCCTAGAAGGATACAGTAAGTTTGAGGGTGAAAACTAGTCTCAAAGCTTGGGCAAGGGAACAAACTGCTACAGAATATCATGGAATCACAGTAATTGGGAATACTTGAGAGTAGAATAATAATTATTCATAATAATAATAATAATTAATATCTAGGCATCTATTTGTTAAGGGAAGAGTGTGGGAGTAATTAAATCCTGTAGTAATGCAGGGGATGGACCACTTGACCAACTAATGACACTATGAATTATTACTGTTATTGTTAGTGTTGCAGTAGCACCTTGAAGGCCCAGTCTGAGGTCAGCATCCCATTATGCTAGGTAGTAAATGTGAAATCCATAAGAATGTTTAGGACTACATTATGGTTGCCCCGATGCAGCTTTCATGGAGGGGGTGGAGGGATTGTGCAGAGAGTTCCTTACCCACCCCCCACACCTCCATTGCACATCTGTAGGGAAATGTGGGTGTGGGGGAAGGTGCTAAAGCTACAGAAGAACTAATGGACCCCACTTGGCCATTAGTTCTGGCCCAGTGTGAGGGTAAGTCCAAGGCCCTGCCCTTCCCCATCCCAGACAGCTGCACCACTGGGCTCATCCTGCTCACATGGACTAAATGGAGACAGGAGCAGCTCGCCCGCAGGCACCAGTGCTCCAGCAATACTTCTGCTGCCTATCCCCCGCCTGGCCAAGCCTCAGGAGAGGCATGATTGAGCCTTTATAATTATTTGTTGTACGAATGCAAGGCATGCATGGACTGTACTTGTATCTCGCAGTAAGAAGATGGTGGAGCAAATAAACAGATACAACCCTATATATTGCCCCAGCTCACAGCCTCAATACTCTGGCTGCGTTTTGTGTGAAGGACTTGGCTCTATATGTAATATCTTGTAACAAGAAGAAGCTGTCCCTTCCTCCCTCAGCCTGCTCTGTGGTAGCAAAGCCACTCTGTAGTGGCTGCAGCATGTTCAGTGCGGCAGTAGCCCCATACAGCCATAGTTGCTCCTCTTTTACAGGAAAGAATGGCCAGTGAACCTTCACAGTCTTTCTTTGCTTTCATCACACACCCTGTTTCAAGCTCCCATCTCTCAAGCACGGAACCTTCTAGGAGTTCTCTAAATCCTATCCCACTTTGCACTGCAAAATTACACTGTTTGTGCTGCATCTCGGGCCCTCTACGGGAGTGGGTGGAAAATGAGGCAGGACATGTCATAGGAAATAACACAACATTCTACGACCTGTTTCATTTGTAGGACAGAGCTTGGTAAACATTATGAAATTTCTATTTAACAAAAGTAAATCTGAGCTCAAGAAATCACAAGGATGATATTGCCTGTTTATGTCAATCTCTAATTTTAAAAACCCATATAATTCAAAAATTGCAGGACCTTTATTACCAGTCATATTCACAAGTGGGAGTGATGTTTGCTTCCATCCCAAATTTCAACGATTTCTACATTGAACTGGATGGCAATAACATGGGAGTGGAGTGTTTACGCCTCTTAAATGAAATTATTGCCGATTTTGATGAGGTAAGGTCTAAACTCTCTGTCATTTGATCTTACTGAGTCTACCAGACTTCTGCCAATTCAAGATTATTTGTGGAAAATTCCTCTTAGTTTGGCTATCTAATAATTTGACTCTGTAAACATCTGATTTCAGTGGGAGTTAGGAGCCTAGGTGCTTTTGTAGATCCCATTAGGCACCTATCTGCCTCTTTGCATGCTTAAATATCTTATAAAATCTGGCCCAAAATGCCCTTAAAAACATTTATGTCTGATGTGGCTCCCACAGACATCACTGTGAATATTGTCACTGGCTTGAATGGGAACAAGACTGGGCCTATAAAGATTGAAGTGGTTTATCAACTTTAATATGCACATATTTTCAGATAGCTATGGTTTGTTGTCTAAAATATTATGTAATGTTTAACAGTTTTATGTTTTAAACAAAGCTTCTGGACAAAGAATGTTATAAGGACATAGAAAAGATCAAGACAATTGGCAGTACATATATGGCAGCGGTAGGACTTGTACCAACTACAGGAACGAAGGTAAGTTGGTCAAACAACATAATGAAAGACTTTGTGTACTCCATGTGCAAATGATGCTAATTCAGTCTCCAACTGAACTACTAAACACCATCAGTTGTAAAAATACGGCTAGAAATATAACTGATAACAGTTTGATTTCTTTGCAACAATTTACCTTCTTTACATCTGAAAAACAAACAATAACTTAAGATTCTAGAGATATAATGTGAGCATGGTGTGCTGAGCATTAGCCACATGGTTAAGACTTGGGGCTTGATTCTGTGCTCCCCTGCACCCTATGTAGTTATCTTCACCAGTGCAAATTAAGTGTGAAAGCAACCTGAGCAGAATGGAAGTGTTTTACACCCACTTTGTACTCGTGTCAGCCCCATAAGTGCAAGAAAGAAGCAGGAAGTCCTGCAGTGACAGTTCCACCAGAATATAACTTAGGGATCATTTGTTTGTTAAAGAGTCTGAGGCCAAATGTAGACATTGGTCTACATTTCCAACCAAAAACCCAGAAACAGGGAGGGTAACTCAGGTATGATTGGTTTCAGAGTAGTAGTCATGTTAGTTTGTATCAGCAAAAACCTAGGAGTACTTGTGGCAGCTTAGAGACTAACAAATTCATTTGAGCATAAGCTTTCATGGGATAAAGCCCACTTCATCAGATGCATGCAGTGGAAAATACAGTAGGGAAGATATATATATATATATACAAAGAACATGAAAAAATGGGGGTTGCCATATCAACTCTAACGAGAGTAATCGATTAAGGTGGGCTATTATCAGCATGAGAAAAAAAACTTTTGTAGTGATAATCAGAATGGCCCATTTCAAACAGTTGACAAGAAGGTGTGAGTAATAGTAGGGGAAAATTAGCATGGGGAAATTGTTTTTAGTTTGTGTAATGACTCATCCAGTCCCAGTCTTTATTCAAGCCTAATTTAATGGTGTCCAGTTTGCAGTTTCCCGTTGGAGTCTGTTTTTGAAGCCCCCAACTAAAACCTTATATATATATATATATATATATATATATATATATATATATATATATATATCTTCCTACTGTATTTTCCACGGCATGTATCTGATGAAGTGGGCTTTATCCCACGAAAGCTTATGCTCAAATGAATTTGTTAGTCTCTAAGGTGCCACAAGTACTCCTCGTTCTTTCAGGTATGACAATTGAACTGCCATGCTGGTTCCTCCAAAACCCATCCATTTCCATCCTTCCCCTCATCCTTTCTCTAGCCCCAACCCCATAGTTAAACTTTGGTCTTTTTTCTCCACTTTTTTCCTCCTGTTATTTATTGTCTTATTTTAAATTACACTGTAAGCTTTTTGGGGCAGGGATCACGCTTTTCCAAGTGTTTGTACAGAAGCTAGCACAATGAGGGCTCCTTTGGGCACTAACATAGTATAAATCAGAATAATCACAGCAAGTCTGGAGTTGGACTTCTATATCAAAGGCCATGGTCAATGCATTTTAGCATGTACCCCCTCATTTGTCCATGCCTGATCTGATGTCCATGTCCATGAATCACAGAGGCACCCTTGAGTGAGCTGAAATAGAATTGCAGAATAACAGTGCACTGGAGGGCAAAAGGGCTAGAACAGTGGTTCTCAACCTTTTGTACTGGTGACGCCTTTCACAGAGTAAGCCTCTGAGTGTAACCCCCCCTTATAAATTAAAAACACATTTTTATATATTTAACACCATTATAAATGCTGGAGGAAAAGTGGGGTTTGGGGTGGAGGCTGACAGCTCGTGACCCCCCCCCATGTAATAACCTCACAACCCCCTGAGGGTTCCTGACCCCCAGTTTGAGAACCCCTGGGCTAGAATGAGCCATGAACTTTTCAAGGAGACAATTAACCTCGTTAAATAAATAAAAAACAAGGCTACAGCTGAATCAACTATTGGGATCAGTTTGGAATATATCCCAGACAATAAATATTGTGTGATTGTAGGATGCCTCTGATTGATGCTTTTTTTTGCCATTCCTAATTCTCTTCATTTCTGCGCTACTGTTAAACGAACGTAAATCCAAACCTACAGAGATGTATTTTTAAAATACTTGTGTGTGGTAAAATTGTTGACTCTAATTGGGGTCCTGAGACAGGCAAAAATTGATCACTTGAATTTTGTATCAGTGTGATCTCAGGCAAACAAGCAACGGCATACCAATATGTCTGGTATAAATGCTCTTTGAACTAGAATCCCAAAAACAAGTGTGTTATTGGGTAACTCCAGCAGTGTATGTTTCAAAGCTAAATATGTTTATCTCATGTATTGTATATTTGCTAGCAGAGGAGTCATTTGAATTAGTCCAGTACTGAAAATATTCACTCAAATGTTATAGTAGAGATTTGAAGCCTGGGGTCTTAGGCAGAACCTGAACTTGAGGAAAAAAATACAAAGCCCAAGATGGGCAAACAAGGACAGAGGTGGAAAACACTGCCCAAAGCACAAACTCTTCTAGATAACAGAACAAATAAAGAAAAAGTAACTAAAGACTAAGAGAAAAGCTAAATAAAGTGAGGTATAGCCAGGCACAATGGTTAAAATCATATAGAAATTCTCTTACAAAAATATCCTAATTATTTTGCCATGAAAACAGAGACTGCAAAGGCCAAAATTTTAGACAATTTTAGAATACATAGCTTTTCCCTTTGTGTTGTTCATGTGGTACAACATGATACAAAGAGAGTAGGAACTCCCTGTATATCACCTTCTGGAGATTTCCTGGTAGGAAGAAGTCCTCATCAGGCATAGGTGTAGCCAGCCTTTTATGTCCCTCCTGTTCCTCTCATTTCACATAGTACTAGAGATGTGGAAGGAACATGGCCAGAGCAACCCCATTTAGTATATGGTCCCAAAGGATCATTGCCAGCTGATGTAAATTAGTGCAGCCTCTAGGAAGCTCTCCTACCCAGGGCCCAAGGTGGAACCAGGCACAGAATCAGGCTCCCTGACATTTACCCATCTCCTTTGTGCCAAGTAGATCTCAACTGCAACAGAAAATCTGACCCAAGCTTTAATTTTGCACTTCTGGGTTTGTGCCTAAAATAGATTGTGGTCACATAATTGTGGGTGCAGATAATTCTAAATGAGAGGTGTTAGACATTTGACTGTCTGATGAACCCATAGATCGAGTAGCTAGATGTCTCAATCCTTTTTGTTCTTCTTTGAGTAGTGTCCCTATGGTTACTCCATGTTTAATGATGTGCATGTGCCCATTCACTCTTAATCAGAGATTTTCACCAGGAGCACCTGTAGATCCGTGCCTGCGCTCTAGACACCCTTGTGCCCTGTTACTGTGGGAATATAGGGAGGGGCAGACTCACTGCCACTCTAGTTCCTTCTCAACCGCCTGCAGCTTCAGACAGAGCATCACGGTATCCATTAGCCAGCTATGTGCCTGGCTATACCTCACTTTATTTAGCTTTTCTCTTAGTCTTTAGTTACTTTTTCTTTATTTGTTCTGTTATTTAGCAGAGTTTGTGCTTTGAGCGGCGTTTTCCGCCTCTGTCCTTGTTTGCCCATCTTGGACTTTGTATTTTTTTCCTCAAGTTCGGGTTCTGCCTAAGACCCCAGGCCTCAAACCCTACCAGCAACAGACATTCAACAGAGACTCACATCCCCTCCAAATATAAGATCTGCTTAGGATTTTAAAGCAGATCTAAAAAACGGAGGGAGGTCAGAGTTAAATTCCTGCCTATGGAGCACTCTCTGAGATCACAGGGTCCAAGTCAGATTTACTAAGAAAGTTGGCTCTTCTACAGCAACCTCTTAGTCAGCAACAGCCTTGAAATGCCCATTTTGACCCATTGGTTAAGGGTCACTAAACTTTTTACCCCAGATCCTATGTTGTACCTATCCCCTCCACCCCCATCTTTATGAGGATCCACTCTCCCATTTCTTAACTTCCTGGGAGCTCATCACCTCAGAGAGATGGTGTCAAGCAGTCTGGAGAGGCTCACAAACATGGGAGCCAAGCTCTGGGCAGACTGTCAAGAAGAAGGCACAAACCCCAGATAGTTTGGGTGTTCTGTCATTAGATTTCGTCAACCAAGTACCAAGTGTGAACTCCACAAACACTATAAAAGCCTTACCAGGGAGTCACAGACAGTTCCCTTGGGCACTCCAGTCTGTCTTGCCACCTAGACAGGCTTACCTTTGTGATAAATGGTCCCTTATACCAAAAATCACAACAATATTCAGGTTACGCACAGTCCTAAAGTACCAGTCACTCACCCCAGGCCAATTGCACCCCTGATCTTTCATCAAACACAGACCTTGTAGACAGTCTTGTAATAAACTAACTAATTAACCAAGAAAAGAAATAAGGGCTATTTACAAGGTTAAAGCAGGTAAACATATGCGTATAAATGAGTTAGTCTTAGGTTTCAAAAGGTGATAGTAGCTGCTATCTATGCAAGCTCTGTATGTCCTTTAGGGATAACCCAAACTAAGCAGCTTGGGAATCCCTTGCTTATGTTTAGAAATATTGCCTTCTCCAAATCCCAAGCAGCATAGTGATGATAATTTCTCTTTAACGGGGATTTTTATTCCCTTCCCCCAGCATTCAAGCTGTGATGGGTCAAGGGCTTGTGTATATACCCTCTTCATGGGCATAGGGGAAGCAAACAATAAAGTCTTTTGTCCACTGATGTTCCACAATGGCTTGTCTGGTGCCTATAGGCTGTCTTTTGTTGGGGAGGAGATGACTTCTCTTGTGGTAAATTAGTATTTCACACTTGGTAATGCTTGTCTCCTGACTGTGGGGTTTTCAGTCTTAGGGCATGGCTACACTTGCAGATGTAGAGCGCTGAGAGTTAAACCAGCCTTTGGAGACCGCAGCAGGGAAAACGGTGCCATGTGTTTACACTGTCAGCTGCAAGCACAGTGGTGTGGCTACATTAGCAGCTATTGCAACTTCACAAAGAGCAGTGCATTGTGGTAGCTATCCCAGTGTGCAAGTGGCTGCAACTTGCTTTTCAAATTGGGGGGGAAGGGGGAGTGTGATGGGGAGTGTGTTGTGTGTATGTGGGGGAGAGAGAGTGGGTTTTTGAGGGGCTCAGAGCATGTCAGCATGCTGTCTTGTAAGTTCAAACAGCAGCAGACTCCCCCTTCACCCCCACACACCCACACTCATAACAGCAGCATTCCACACTAATGGCTTGCTTTGTCCCGGAGCAGATAAGCATGCCGGCTGTCAGAAACGAAGCTTTGAAAGGGCATATCCGCATTTCTGTAGCCAATTGCAAAACAATGACAAGAGTGGCCACTTGAATTCAGGGGATTATGGGACGTTTCCAGAGGCCAGTCACAGCACAGTAATGCAACACCTCGTTCACACTGATGCCGGGGCACAGCAAGCTTTATGCTTCTCATGGAGGTGGATTACCAGGAGCACTCCAGCTGCAAGTCCAGACCCTCTATGTGCCTTGCCAGTGTGGACACATTGGAAGTTAGGGCACCCGGGGCTGCTTTAATGCGCTGTAACTTGCAAGTGTAGCCAAGCCCTTAGCAAACATTTTTATAGTTGCAGAGCAAACACTTAAATATTACCTTGTAACATGAAATACAGATATTATAAGTGAGATTAATACATTTAGCATCCTACAAGCATTTCATAAAGTCTAAACACTAACCACATTCTTATAACTCTAATATCTATTTTAACGCTGCTAACACACAGGTGAGCCAGATTGGTTTCCAGCTATCCATTTGTCAGTATTCCAGGACCTAGGCACCTTGGCGTGAGCTGGCAGCTGGTCTGCCAGTGTCACAAACGGGATCCTAGGAGTGATTTCTACAGGCTTTTCCATCCAGTTCAGCTCCCGACCACCCCCCATACCTCCTCCCTCCCTCTTCAGAAACCCATTTTACAAAGACGTCTTAACGCAGAAGGTATAATCCCTGCTAGCTCTTGGGATAATCGAATCTTTTCCACCAGACTTGGTTGGGAAAAGCTTTTCTTCCTGGTACTTTCTCATTCCCCCCCGCGACCCCCAAAAAAAGTTTAGGGTAATTCTGGACATGAGGATTTTAAACACTTTTGCCCACTCCCAACAGTTCAGAATGGTAACCATAGCAACGATAATTCCCTCCCTAGGTCTGGGAGATTGGTCTGTTTCCCTTGACCTTCAGGATGCTTATTTTCATGTTAGGAGTACTTGTGGCACCTTAGAGACTAACAAATTTGGTGCCACAAGTCCTTTTATTTTTGCGAATACAGACTAACCCGGCTGCTACTCTGAAACCTATTTTCATGTTGTCATTCATCCCTCAAACAATCCCTGCATGTTGTGGTAGGCTGGGATCATTGCCAGTATTGTGTCTTATCCTCAGGCCTTTCCATTGCCCAAAGGGTTCTTACCAAAGTTCTGTCAGCCACAGCAGCTTATCTTCACCAGATGGGCATAATCATCTTTCCCTACCTGGAAAATTGGCCTCTGAAAGGTTGTTTACCTATTGAAGCACAGACAGCAATCAGCAAGGCCCTTTCTCTGTTTCACTCTCTGGGCTTCTGTCTCAATGTGTCTTGCATAATGACAGGTTTCAGAGTAACAGCCGTGTTAGTCTCTATTCGCAAAAAGAATGTAGCTCATGAAAGCTCATGCTCAAATAAATTGGTTAGTCTCTAAGGTGCCACAAGTACTCCTTTTCTTTTTGTCTCAATGTGGAAAAGCCTATTCTAACACCCACACAATGTATAGATTTCATCAGGGCCACACTGGACTCTGTCTACCAGAGTGTACTTCCTCAAGGACAGATTCGCCACAATGTCCAACCTTGTTTTCACAATTCAACAATGTTCACAAACCACTGTCTTCAAGCATGGTTGAAAACCATCTACACCCCCAACAATCACAGTCTATCCAAGCAGGTGTCCATTGCTCAGAAAGTCCTCGCTTCACTAAATTGGTGGAAGGACCCACAAAATGGGTTTGTGGGAGTTCCCTTTCTACAGCTTCCTCCCACAAGGATTATCATCACAGATGCTCCCTAATAGATTGGAGCACGCAGTTCCAGAAACTGACAGCACAGGGCAAATGGACCCCTCAGGAGGTGAGCCTCCATGTCAACATACTGAAGCTCAGAGCAGTTTGTTATGCTCACTAATAGTTCTCACCACACATCAAGGGCCACCCAATCAGAATAATGCTGGACAACAGAGCAGCAATACAACGCATCTCTCTGGGGACCACTCTGGACTTCCCCCAGCTAGACATGTCACATACTCACCATCATAAGCCCACCCAGTGAGCTGCCTGCTCGCCTACCACGATTCATCCCATCCCAGCTACCAAAGCCTTCCTGTGCAAGTCTTCCTGCCACCCCACCAAAATCATCCCCCTGCACTGGCCCTTCCCCCTCTCTCCCACCCTCTAAAGTTGTTCCACGTTTTTCACTTTGAAAATCTGTTCTACCTATTCATATTTAATCTTGACATAATTCAGATTTAATCTCTACAAAGGACCTAGACCTTGAAGGGTATGACCAGCCTTCACCACCTACTGAAAGCAAGGGAGATAAGTCTTCTCCATTCTTCACAGGATTGAGTCCAGTCCTGCACCACTCAGGTCAACAGGAATGTTGTCAACAGGAGCAGCATGAAGCCCTCAGAACCCATATAGTTATCAATTACCACAGAAAGCAATGCTTACAACGCTGAACAAATAGCTATTGCCCAGCAGCAGAAACAATTTTTCCCATTGTAATTTTGCTTTCCTGTTGTTTACTCATCTGTTTCTCCTCTCAAAAACACCTGAGGAAGGCAGGAATCCAGAGCATTTGAGTTTCAGACAGAAAAGATTATGGTCAAAAGTAACGACAGCTCTGTCTTGAAGTTTAAGATGGTAGTAAATTCTTGGTAAGTCAAGTGCCAGAGCTGCAATGCTAATCCATAATAAATAGACAAAGATTTTCAATTAATGTAATGTAGAAGGAGGAGCTTCATATAACCTTAGGTTTTGGCCACATCTGAGTTGTTGTTGTGATCCCTTTTTCCCATTGAGTGTCTGTGTCTGAATCTCCTGATTTGTCCCCATGACTCCCAGAAGTCAAAAAGAGAAACAAAAACAATTCAGCATTGGAGAAAATAATGCAAATATTCGAAACACAATTGAAAGTTCCATTTCACGTTTAGCAAAACAGTTTAGATGCAGTTGAGAATGAAGGGGTATGGCAGTGTTTTATCTGGCTCAAACTACTGTGTAAATGTAATGTAAAATGTTATTTTGTATCTAGGCTAAAAAATCAATTTATTCCCACTTGAGTACACTGGCAGATTTTGCAATAGAGATGTTTGACGTTCTTGATGAAATCAACTATCAGTCTTACAACGACTTTGTCCTCCGAGTTGGTAAGTTCTGTTTCTAGAGTTAGCCTATAAAATGTAGCATTGCTGTTGGCTGCCTTCCCCATTTTATCTGAAGAGGTTCAGTAGTAGAGAATTGCCTATATCTTTGAATGAAAATAGCTCATATTCATGCTCTTGAGTGAAACTTGGAGCCGGAAGAGTCTAGATCGATGGCCATTTTATCATCAGCATGTTTGCACAAGTGCCATTAATTTAAGGGGAGTTACACATGCAGAAGGTGAGAATGAAGGCATCAAGCTTAAGGGTGCTAGTCCTTATGTTCAGGACCAATTCCAGTTTGGTTAGTTATGTGATGCTTAGCTAAAATTCTTTTAGAGTTTCAATTGCATATGGTTCGCTTTCATTCCCTGTCATACTCTGTTCTCTAATATTGCTGTGCATTGTTAAACTGCTGCAGCATTCCACTCCAGAGCCGGCAGTACTTCACTGGTGTGCGTACGTTTTGTGTGCAGATATAGATTGTACAATGCTTTGGAATCTTTGAGACCTTTCTTATGTTATCAAAAGGTTTCTTGCATTTAGCTCATTTCCTCTCCTAGTTGCTGCAGCTTCTGCTTCCTGCAACAAATCAACCCCTCCCGCTCCCTCCTTTAGCCCTCTTGTGCCACACACACATGCTCTCCTCCACGTGAAGGATTGCACTGTGATCCTCACCCCTGAAAGCCAGTTCCCTTCTGCAGCCTTCGTTGCTTCAGTGCCATCTCTCCTTCCAGCCCTTCCCCAACGGTAACTCCAAGGCTGTTCTCATCTCAGTGAAATCCTCTAATTTGACATGCTTCCCCCACCCTCACCTCCTTTTGTTTCCCAGCCCATTGGTTGAGTTGTGCACTCAAACTGGAGCGGATCAGTTGTGGGCTCAAAGTGGAGCAGATAAACTAGCAGCCAAGTGGCGAAAGTGGTCATAGACCATGATATCAATAGTGAGGAGAGGCGAGTCATGCTACAGTCCTGAACTCCCCCATCATCCAGCAACTGAAAGCTTTCCTCCATCACTGGTACAATGCCTTCCTCCAAAGTGTCCTTAGAAGACCACAGTGTGGCTGGCCATGCACAAGTGTGCAAGGGGCAGACAGAGCACCAGGATCCCTCTCCCCACTTAACTTGTGCAACTTCTCATGGGGAAGCCACAATTCTCGTCTTGGCACAGGGGCTAAGACCATTAGAACCAGCAACTGTGCAAGACACTGCAAAAGGGGGTAGGGTCATGCTGCTCCTCAATTCCACACTAACTGGTGAAATCAGCATAGGGCCTAGGAGCTAATATTGTGCCTCCAAAAAGGAAATGTATGTGCCAGTTCTGAGTGCTTCTCCTCGATAGTGCTCCCAGAGAAGCCTGTGTGTCTGTGCATGCAGAATATATCCCTAGTCTGGTGCTGGTATCAGAATTTCTCATGTGACCTGCTTTCCCTGCCCCAACTCCTGATGTTTCCCAGCCCAATGGCAGTGCAGGGTCGGTGCACTCCCGCTTAGGAGGCTGTCTCTTAAAAAGCACAACAGAGCCCATAAGAAGTAATCAAGGGTCAATAATCTCTTGCCATGACCTGTAGAGACTTCCTCTGTGCTACTAAACAGCTGGACACATTTTATGCCGGAAGTGATTCTTCCTCTCCTTCTCCTCCTCCCTGCCGGAAGATTGAAATTGAGAATTTCCCTCATGAGATTAGAACAGGTTTTTTTTAAATTTGAGTAAAATTAATGTTACATTTCAGGTGTGCTCTGTGTGCCTGTATAGGTCAATTTCTAACACTCTTCGGGATCCTGGGTGTTGAAAAGCTCTAATATAAGAGGATGCTATTGTGTACTATGACAGGTAAAAACACTGAAGTCATTTATGGCGAAACAGTTGGAAAGAGCAACTGTTTCTCTTAGATCTATGTCACAGCACTTGAAGCAGCAAAAACGAAATAAAAGCCATTGTTCTGATTTTAGGTATTAATGTTGGGCCTGTAGTGGCAGGAGTTATTGGGGCCAGAAGACCACAATACGATATCTGGGGTAACACTGTGAATGTTGCCAGCAGAATGGATAGTACTGGAGTGCAGGGTAAAATTCAGGTGAGTATATTCCAATCACTCTTTATCAGTTTGAAGTTCTTGTTTATTAATAATCCTATGATTACATTTTCAAGGCTGCTTAGAAAGCTCAGCCTCATCTCTTCACGTTTCTTATGAAGGCAGCAACATCCCCAAGGTGATTCAGGTGCCTACTGTGTAGTTATTCTTCTGTTATCTGTTCCACTGCTTTGAAGTGGTGAAATCAAAGGATCAACAAACCACAAAGAGAGGTTTCACCTTCAAATTCCTGCCGTACTGCACTCCATTGGATTATAGGCCTGAATCTGCAGTCTTTACACAGGCCAGTCATCCCCAAACTTCCACTTCACTCTGGGAATTTTGCCTGAGTAAGGACTACAGGATAAGGACCTATATCAGATTACATTCAGTCACATCTTGTATAGATTGTAGAATCTTTCTGGATGAAAGGCGCCACACTCTTGTAAAATATTATTAATCTTTGAGATTGTCCTGAAACAAAGCTCCAGCTCCCAGCATGGACTGAACTTTGGGGAAGCCTGTATCTGAACTTCACATTTGGTCAAAATCTCTGTTGCTGTAAACTAGCTTCAATGAAGCAGTACTAGCTTACACCACCAGAGATTAGGCCCTATGTTTCCAATGAGTAGAACCAAACTTCAGATCTGAACGCCGCAGAACTTTGGAGTCCTTCAGTTCTAGATCGGAAATTTTCTCCTTAGGGCCCATCTCATTATTAATTATTATAATTATTGCCAGCAAAGCACATACCAGGGAAAACCAAAACCAATAGTTATTCATTCATTCCATGGGGCATCTTTCATCCCAGTTAAAGAAAGTGCCATAGAGAAGTATAATTCTGCTTTCTTACTCTAGGATTAACCCTAGCTAATTGATAGGAATGGTAAAATATAATACTGGCTCTTCTTATCCACAGGTGACAGAAGAAGTTCAGCGGATATTAAAGAGGTGCAGTTACGAGTTTGTGTGCCGAGGTAAAGTCAGTGTAAAGGGAAAAGGCGAAATGTTGACCTATTTTCTTGAAGGAAAGGCCAATGGAAATAATTCACAACCACGGTCTTTAAACTTAGAGCGGAAAATGTACTCCAACGGGAGAACAAACATTCAAACCAAACTGGGCACCAGTTGTCCATCAGTGTCCTCAGTCGCCAGCTTTACTGTAAAAGCTGGGCTTGGAGCACTTCAAGCATCAACAACCCACACAAATCAAACATTACATTACCTTCCTTCTGTGCCAGCTGTGAAAGAAGTATAGAGCAGAGAAAATTTGGTTACGGCATTTGCAGTGAACTCAGAGAGCAGAGGTTGTCTGAATTTTCACCAGGAGGTCAAGGATCATAGGCCATGGCATCAACCAAGGATCACTACAACCCAACCAAAGAGAACTTGGGAACTGCATAAACGAACTCTTGGAATGGAACAAATAAGGGCTAGCAATTCTGTTAGGAAAAGTCTAAACCCAATTTTTTGGAAATATGGAATATTTTCTTGGCATTTTTAAAGGATAAATGCTATAATTGAAAAAAGTGTACACATGACACTGTATTTGTGTGTGTATATATATATATATATATATTTTAAATCTATATATGCACATATACAAACACTCCTATATATATATATATATATATATATATATATATATATATATATATATATATCTTATGTATGTATGTATTTATGTACACATCCACCTTCAATGGCATAAGGGATAGATTTCTTTTACCACCATATCCAGTGTTGTTGGGTCTGAGGTTAGTAAAGCTGCTATTAGGAAAGGAGGGTGAGATGATTGAAAATTATTTGGGGCTATAGCAAGAGTTATGGAAACCTTGTTCCACTGCTTGAAATAAGGAAAGAAGAATTCGTCAGCGATTGGTAAATGAAGGTTGAATTAAAGCCAACTGCCAAACTGAGGTATCTTTTAAAGTTTTATTTGCATGTTCAGTAGCTTTGAATGCTTTCCAGTTACAATTACAACACAATGCTATGAGCTAGACAAGAGACAGGGCTTAGGAATTTGATCAGATACTAATAAATGTTCTTTCCATTGACAAAGAAGGTTACTAAAATACTGTCTTTCTGTAGGACATTTTGGCTTGGTATGAGACAGAGGTGCCATCCTGCAAGCACAGCAATATGCTTATGAAATATAGAACAGTCTTTCCTGTTTTATGCACATTGCCAATTGTATTGAAGGTAGAGAACAGTGGGACACTCTCTTTTTGCAGTAGCAGACTTTCACTGAAAGCACAGATTTTCTTGCTCAGTGAAGATTTAGGCCTGTTTGAACCGTTCAGTATCAGTTACAAATGTGCTGTTGGTATTGTTATATTTGTACATTTGCCAACATTTTTTTAATTTGATGCCACTGTTTTATTATATATCCTGATTCAACACCAGGCTTCTTGTTCTTAGTTACACGATTACAGAAAGTATATACCTATTTTTGAAGATAGGACTCTGAAAGGCAAGCACATCAAACTTTCTCCAAATGGTGATCACGTTGGTAAACTTCCCCAGAGTTTGAGGGCTGCTCTTAATTTGCATAAAAGGGAACATTTTTCAGCTGCTCTCATGATCTCATGGATGTCATGGATAAGTTTGTCTATCATCTTATACCACACCCATTACTGTGGTATCCGAACACCTATATTAAGCCTTACGGCATACACCCAGTCAAGTTCTATAGGCCACTTCTTTTGTAAACTGCCCATCCATATGCCAGTGTGCTTGCAATGATTATTGCATTCACCCAAGAGTTCTGAAGGAACTCAAATATGAAATTGCAAAGCTACTAACTGTTGTATGTAACCCATCACTGAAATCACTCTGTACCAGATGACTGGAAGGTAGCTAATCTAATGCCAATTTTTAAAGAGGACTCGAGAGGAGATTCTGGCAATTACAGGCCAGTGAGCCTAACTTCAGTACCAGGCAAATTGGTAGAAACTGTAGTAAAGAACAAAAACACATAGAAAAACACAATGTGTTGGGGAAGAGTCAACATGGCTTTTGTAAAGGGAAATCATGCCTCACCAATCTATTAGAATATATTGAGAGAGTCAATAAGCATGTGGATAAGAGTGATCCAGTCAATATTGTGTATGGATTTTCAGAAAGCCTTTGACAAGGTCCCTCACCATAGGCTCTTAAGGAAACTAAGGAACCATGGAATAAGAGGGAAGGTCCTCTCATGGACCAGTAACTGTTTGCAAGATAGGAAACAAAGGGTAGGAATAAATAGTAAGTTTTCACAATGGAGCGAGATGAACAGCGGGGTCCCCCAGCCATCTGTACTAGGACCTGTGCTGTTCAACATATTCATTAATGATCTGGAAAAGGGGGTGAATAATGAAGTGTCACAGTTTGCAGATGACACAAAATTATTCAAGATAGTTAAGTCCAAAGCAGATTGAGGAGTTACAAAGGGATCTCCCAAAGCTGGGTGACTGAGCAACAAAATGGCAGATTAAATTTAGTGTTGCTAAATGCAAAAGAATGCACCTTTGGAAAAATAATCCCAGCTGCACATATATAATGATGGGTTCTAAATTAGCTGTTACCACCCAAGAAAGATCTCAGAGTTGCTTTGGATAGTTCTCTGAAAACTCCTGCTCAGTGTGCAGCAGCAGTCAAAAAGGCTAACTATATCCTAGGAACTATTAGGAAGGGGTTAAAAAATAACACAGAAAATATCATAATGTCATTATATAAAACCATAGTATGCCCACACCTTGAATATTGTGTCCAGTTCTAGTCACCCCATCTCAAAAAGGATATAGTGGAACTGGAAAAGGTTTCAGAGAAGGGCAACAAAGATTAACGGCTTCCATATGAGAAAAAACTAAAAAGATTGGGGCTGTTCATCTTAGAAGAGAAATGACTAAGTGGGGATATGATAGAAGTCTATGAATCATGAATATTGCGGAAAAAAACAAACACCAGGAGTCACCTGATAAAATTAGTAGGCAGCAGGTTTAATGCAAAGAAAAGAAAGCAGTTTTTCCACACATTGCACAACTAATCTGTGGAACTCATTGCCCTGGGATGTTATGATGTCCAAAAGCATAACTGGGTGAAAAAAGTAACGGGGTAACTTCAGGGAGGATAGGTCTATCGATGGCCATTAGCCTGGATGGTCAGGAACGCCAACCCTAAAGCTCTGACTGCCAGAAGCTGGCAGTGGACGATGGGTGGATCACTCCACAATTTCCCTTTCTGTATACTCCCCCTTAACCTCTGCCATGGACCACTCTTGGAGACAGGATATTGGGCCTGCCCACTATAGCTCTTTTGTTCTTATTTTAAATGGTTTTTTAATGGGGTCTCTTTATGGACAAATGTTGTCCCAACAGTTGCAGAGCGTGGGAGTAAACATGATGAAGTTTGTTTTCAGCTCTCCAGGTAGCCAAATCAATGCTATATTGTGTATCATGGATTTATAGAAGTTATTTTATTCAGTTCTGTAGCGATTTTCAGTGTGTCAGTACAGAGATTGAAAGGCTAGATTTGCGGTTAAAGCACTGAACTAGATTGATCTGATTCAATTCCAGGCTCTGCCACAGATTTCCTGTGTGACTTTGGTCTAGTCACTTCATCTCTGTGTATTTCCGTCTTGAGATTGGGGATAATAATAGTTCCCTGCCTCACAAAGGTGTTGCTGGGAATAAAATCACTAATTCAAATACTATGGTGATGAGGGTCCTCTAGGTAAACAGATCACACACATTAGCAAGAACAAAAAATTGCATAATTTAAATTGAAGCAAACTGTATTAATGCAACATTGAGATTGTATTGTTGAAATAAAAAGTTGTCAGGAAATTCAAAGGATGAGGTTCCAAGAGCTATGAGAACCTGGTCACTTTGCATATCCTGTATGTTTTATAATATGTATTTTATGAAGCAAAGCAACCTATGTTAAGCTAGATATTTAACCAAAATGGAAAATTCTGTGTAGGTGCAATACCATCGGTTAAGTTATGCACTTACTGACTCTGTGAGTTAAACCGTAGAGTGTAGGGTCATTCATTCCTGCTACAGTTACAGTTATGTCCAATTAAAACAATTTTTTTTGCATTTACAATTACTATTAGTAGTAAAATTACTGTAGCGCCAGGCGCTCCAGTCACAGACCAGGACTCGGTGCTGTACAAATAGAACAATAAGCCGGTCCCTGGCCCCAAGATCTTACAATCTAAATAATTGTCTAGGATTTTTAAAAACAGGAAATATTAAGGGGAAATTGCCTTGGCATCTAATGTCACTGAGGTGATAGAGTGAGGAAGAGCGAATTCCTCCCTTTGCTGTTGCTGTAGTTGGGGGCAATTCTGCAACGCTGGTTTAACAAGGCAGCAGTAACCTGTTTTGCAGCCATTACAGCACGCACTACTAGGTGCCCATTCTAATAATGTTAGAGTAAAAGTGTATTTTTGCCTTTCTGCTCTCGTTTCCTATTTGTCTGACTTTCCCAATTTCATTTCTCTGTGTACATTTCTGTATCCTCTTTTAAATGACATATTTCTGTAGTCTCTCCACCCTTTTACATTCCCATGTATGCCTTTAGCAAGTTTTATGCAGGAGAGATAACAGAGGTAATAACTGTGCTCAGCCCACAAAAGCATATGATTCTTGACAAATTTGAGAAATGTCCTTGCGTTGCTTTGCGGCAACCGTCTGAAGATAATAATTGGCCTGATCCAAAGGCCATGGAAGTAAATATAAAGCTTCCCACTGACTTCAGTGGGCTTTGGATCAGAGTGCATTTCACCTATATTAGATTTATTATTTTTTCAATTCATGTTTTGCACTGGATCTTGCTTTAGCCCCATTGAGGGGTCAGTGCTGCCATTGATATATATATGTAGTTCCCATTTTAATTAAGGGAAGTTACATGGACACATCATGGGCAGAATAGTGTCCTAAGTTTACATTTATTCTTGTGTAGTGTTGGCTTGAACACTTAACTGGGAGGAGCCCAACAATAAACTGGTGCCAGTTTTGGCAAGATGTCTTTAATGTCTGTGAATTGCAAGCACAATATTTCACATCAGTTTGCATGTTTTCTTTTAAGATAATAGTCATAATTTTAAAGTCTTTCATTCTTCACATAAGCAAATAAGCATCAGAGGTCTTCAAACCTCCTTCTCTCTTGGGAACTAATTTCAAAATATTCCCATGTTACATTTGTGTTTAAATGTTGGGGTTTTTTTATACTACCATGATTACAAACTGGCATTCAGCTGAATTACTGGCTAGATATTTCCAAATATTTAACACATGGATCGATTAAAAAGCAATTTTACCCAACAGGTAAAGTGCATTGTTTCTCTGTAGATGTTCTTACCTGTGAGTATTGACATTCCATTACCACCACCTGAAACACAAGCACACTCTTGTAATACTTAGCTCTGCTCCCTTTAGGTGAGATTTTGGGAGAGCCTGAACTTTCAGCTTATCAGGCCTGAACCTGCATTCTTTATGCACCCAAAAGTTCTATGGAAATCAATGAATGTATGGGGTGTAGAAGGAGTTTAGTACTTG